GTGCTCATGATGCGCTTAGCTGGCTTAGCTTCTTTGAGACACCTAGCTTCTTCTGTGTGATCGTTGTCTTTTTTAGCGATTTTAAGATACAGGGTCTAGGGCGTTGAGTTGCGCAAGGGTTGCGTATGACCCCGTTCGTTTTCTTCTGTATGCTCCTTGGAAACTGAAACAACTGTGTATGACACCATTCGTTGTCTTTTTCAGCGATTTTAAGATACAGGGTCTAGGGCTTTGAGTGCGCAAGGGTTGCGTATGACCCCGTTCGTTGTCTTCTGTATGCTCCTTGGGAGCTGAAACAATTGTGTATGACACCATTCGTTGTTTTTTTCAGCGATTTTAGATTCAGGGTCTAGGGCTTTGAGTGCGAAAGGGTTGTGTATGACCCCGTTCGTTTTCTTCTGTATGCTCCTTGGAAACTGAAACAACTGTGTATGACACCATTCGTTGTCGATTTCAGCGATTTTAAGACACAGGGTCTAGGGCTTTGAGTGCGCAAGGGTTGTGCAACTGTGTATGACACCATTCGTTGTCTTTTTCAGCGATTTTAAGATACAGGGTCTAGGGCTTTGAGTGCGCAAGGGTTGTGTATGACCCCGTTCGTTTTCTTCTGTATGCTCCTTGGAAACTGAAACAACTGTGTATGACACGATTTGTTGTCTTTCTCAGCGATTTTAAGATACAGGGTCTATTGCTTTGAGTGCGCAAGGGTTGTGTATGACCCCGTTCGTTTTCTTCTGTATGCTCCTTGGAAACGGAAACAACTGTGTGTGACACCATTCGTTGTCTTTTTCAGCGATTTAAAGATACAGGGTCTAGGGTTTTGAGTGCGCAAGGGTTGTGTATGACCCCGTCCGTTTTCTTCTGTATGCTCCTTGGAAACTGAAACAACTGTGTATGACACCATTCGTTGTCTTCTTCAGCGATTTTGAGATACAGGGTCTAGGGCTTTGAGTGCGCAAGGGTTGTGTATGACCCCGTTCGTTTTCTTCTGTATGCTCATTGGAAACTGAAACAACTGTGCATGACACCATTCGTTGTCTTTTGCACCGATTTTGAGATTCAAGGTCGAGGGCTTTGAGTGCGCAAGGGTTGTGTATGACCCCGTTCGTTTTCTTCTGTATGCTCCTTGGAAACTGAAACAACTCTGTATGACACCATTCGTTGTTTTTTTCAGAATACAGGGCGCAAGGTTGTGTATGACCCGGTTCGTTTTCTTCTGTATGCTCCTTGGAGACAGTGAAACAACTGTGTATGACACCATTCGTTGTCTTTTTCAGCGGTATTTAAGATACAGGGTCTAGGGCTTTGAGTGCGCAAGGGTTGCGTATGACCTCGTTTGTTTGCTTCTGTATGCTCCTTGGAAACTGAAACAACTGTGTATGACACCATTCGTTGTCTTCTTCAGCGATTTTAAGATACAGGGTCTAGGGCTTTGATTGCGCAAGGGTTGTGTATGACCCCGTTCGTTTTCTTCTGTATGCTCCTTGGAAACTGAAACAACTGTGTATGGCACCATTCGTTGTCTTCTTCAGCGATTTTGAGATACAGGGTCTAGGGCTTTGAGTGCGCAAGGGTTGCGTATGACCCCGTTCGTTTTCTGCTGTATGCTCCTTGGAAACTGAAACAACTGTGTATGACACCATTCGTTGTCTTCTTCAGCGATTTTAAGATACAGGGTCTAGGGCTTTGAGTGCGCAAAGGTTGTGTATGACTCCGCTCGGTTTCTTCTGTATGCTCCTTGGAGATTGAAGCAACTGTGTATGACCCCGTTCGTTTTCTTTTCAACGGTTTTAGGGTGGAGGGTCTAGGGCTTTGGGTGCACAAGGGTTGTGTATGACCCCGTTCGTTTTCTTCTGTATGCTCCTTAGAAGTTGGAATAACAGTGTATTCCTCAACTCCCAAACTTTGATCCCAGTGATGCTCCTGGGGCGCTAAGCTTTTCTGTGTACGGTCTTCACTCATGCTCACTAAGCCCATGAAGCTAGAGCTTTCGTCACCGCCCTCCGGGTCTCAAGTTTATGCTGTGCATAATTCGCTTCACGCCTGCAGTTGCCCCAGCTGTGATAATCAAGAACCTCTGCAATTCTGGAGCGTCGGCAATAGTACAAACGCAGAACTTCCCTACTCAATGCAGCTGCTACCTCCAGCTTGCTCCCGGAGGCTTCCTGCGTCCATGGCCAGCCAAGTGCAGATCAAGTCCAGGACACTTCTGGGTTTCTGGCCGGTCGAGGCTGCCTCGATTGCGTTCCATGGGCATCCACTGCTTGTGGCTTCTACAGTGCTTCAAACGCTAAGTCTCCGATGTGACACTTGAGGCGAAGATACGGAGGGTCCTGTTACTTGCTGTGGCAAGACGCACCCGAGAAAATAATGGATTCGAAATGGACAATGGATCCATTATTTCCTGCTATTGAAAAATAATGGAATGGAAATGGAAAATGGATCCATTATTTCCTGCTATTGAAAGCCTAATACTAAGGGACCCACAGAAAATAATAACAATCCCCCCCCTCGAAAATAATGGAATGGAAATGGAAAATGGATCCATTATTTCCTGCTATTGAAAGCCTAATACTAAGGGACCCACAGAAAATGATAATAATGCCGCCCCCCCACCCCCCCCCCGCCCCCCCCCCTCCAAAATAATGGAATGGAAATGGAAAATGGATCCATTATTTCCTGCTATTGAAAGCTTAATACCAAGGGGCCCACAGAAAATAATAATAATGCCGCCCCCCCCCCCCCCCCCCCCCCCCGCCCCCCCTCCAAAATATGGAATGGAAAAATGGAAAATGGATCCATTATTTCTTGCTATTGAAAGCCTAATACTAAGAGACCCACAGAAAATGATAATAATGCCGCCCCCCCCCCCCCCCCCGCCCCCCCCAAAATAATGGAATGGAAATGGAAAATGGATCCATTATTTCCTGCTATTGAAAGCTTAATACTAAGGGACTGACAGAAAATCATAATAATGCCCCCCCCGAATGGAAATGGAAAATGGATCCATTATTTCCTGCTATTGAAAGCCTAATACTAAGGGACCCACAAAAAAAAAATAACAAAATGCCCCTCCAAAATAATGGAATGGAAATGGAAAATGGATCCATTATTTCCTGCTATTGAAAGCCTAATACTAAGGGCCCCACAGAAAATAATAATAATGCCCCCCCCCCCCGAATGGAAATGGAAAATGGATCCATTATTTCCTGCTATTGAAAGCCTAATACTAAGGGACCCACAAAAAAAATAACAAAATGCCCCTCCAAAATAATGGAATGGAAATGGAAAATGGATCCATTATTTTCTGCTATTGAAAGCCTAATACTAAGGGCCCCACAGAAAATAATAATAATGCCCCCCCCCCCGAATGAAATGGAAAATGGATCCATTATTTCCTGCTATTGAAAGCCTAATACCCCACAAAAAATTCCAAAATGGAATGGAAATGGAAAATGGATCCATTATTCCTGCTATTGAAAGCCTAATACTAAGGGACCCACAGAAAATGATAATAATGCCGCCCCCCCACCCCCCCCCCGCCCCCCCCCCTCCAAAATAATGGAATGGAAATGGAAAATGGATCCATTATTTCCTGCTATTGAAAGCCTAATACTAAGGGACCCACAGAAAATAATAATAATGCCGCCCCCCCCCCCGCCCTCCCCGTCTTCTTGCTTGCTCTCCATCTAGAATAGTAGCAATGCAATACCTCCACCCCTACCCCTGCCTTTGAAACTTTCCGTCAGTCATACCGCTTGTCTTCTATTCCAAGTATTACTTTCCTCCCTCGATAATAATAATCATGGCTGCCCCCCACCCCCGGGGCTTTTAAAAAGTTTCGGGTGCGCCCTCTGGTGTTGCAGCCATCCTTTTCTCATTCTCGCAGCTTCCGGTTTGATGGCTTTGGGTTTGTTTCAGTCATGCTGGCATAGTCAAGGATAGTTTGACCCAAGCTCTCATGCTCCCGAGGATTTGGAGAATCAGCTATATGATCAACTGGCACGTGGCTTTGAGGGGTGCATCCTTTACAGGGCTCGAGGGCCTACTGTAGGGTTTTTGTTCACAGATGTTCGCAGCACAGCTATGCACGGCTTCTCTCAGCCACTTCTCACGATGATGCGCGCCGCGCGCCCTGATGGCTGCTTCGAAGGCCTCATCGGAAGCTACGTCCAGTCTCTGGGAGGACGGGCGCGGTGCTCTGGCTCGGATAGCAGGGAGCCCTGCGCCCTATGCATTGAGCTGTGAGTGTTCTGAAAATGCGGCTTTCAGAGTCGACATTTCGGGCAGCAGCCAAGCAATACCTTGGAATCATCCCACCGTTGCAGTTCGAACTCGGAGGGGACCGAGGAAGAACTGCAATTCCCCTACGAATAAGATGCGCACGGCAAGGCAGGACAAAGTTCAACTGAGATGCGAAAGCCGAGGTGATTTATGGCTGCCGCTCACCTGCAATGAAGCGTGCGTGTGCTCGGGTTACATTTGCGCAGACAACCTAAACACTCGGATAGGGTAGACGGAGGTGTCGTAAGCTATTTTGAAGGTGTTCTGACGGCTGAGTCAACTCATGGGGCGCGAGAGCTTCCCGAAGATAGACTACGTGAATGCAGCTGTTTCGGTAATTGAGAAGCTTGTCATCACGAGCGGTGCTTTCTTCTTGGCCTCATCTTGGCTCGATGCAAACGTTCATGATCTGGTGACGGATGCAAGACTTGCTCTAACGCTGACATAGACTTGACACTGTCATGCAACTACCTCGTGTGTGCGTCGGATTCACACAGCGCGATACAGTATACAGTATAGGCGTATAGGCGCTTTCTTTGCAAGGCCACGAGGGGCGTGCGGGGAGGGAGCTGATTGAGCATTCAACAGTTGCTAGATCACAGCCCAGCATTTTTCTTGGGACACAGGTCCAGGGGACTGGAGGCAGGAGCTAAACAAAAAATGCACACCAGCGCAAACTCTAAGCGATCTACCTGCACTTCGCAGCTCGTGCAGCCATGGACGAGTTCGATGGGCTCTCGCTGAAGGGAGGGGCCCAGGCCGATGGCAACACGCCACTCCTGAGCCCGCCCTTCGGATGCAAGTAAGGGCTTTGAGCCGGTTCTTTGGTGTCCGGGTCCAGGTACTTTGGAACCCTGAACAGTATCATGCTGGGAGGCTCCGCGTGGACGCCTTTGAGAGAAGGTCTGCGATTGTGGTTGTGTAAGCTAGTATAGAGAGCTTTTGCTGCATTCTGAAAGATACAATCTGAACTGAGCCTGCCCTGACAGACGTCATTGAGACGATAGCACTGCGATCAACATTTTTGTCACAGTGAAGCCGCAATGTATTGTCAAGTCGCAGAACGTGCATAATTGAGACGTGAGAGGCCAAGATGCTTCGCTTCAATCAAGGGCACAAGTGATGGCAATGTATTGTGGTTTAATGTATAGGTATACACTGTGAAATTAGTTAACCATGCATCAGGCGCTTGGGCTGTGGGTTTGCAACAACGAGCAAAACGAGATAAAGCGAGATATGGATTTGCCTCATAAGTGCTTGCGTCCCCTTTCCGATCCAATCCCGGCCCGCCCGCCATGCATCAGGATTGAGCTTGCACCCGTCTCTGAAGACGACCGGCCCAGACGCCGACGTCGGCGCACCGAGCTTGCACTGGTGGAAGGCGATCGCAGGTGAAGTGCATGGTATGGCATTTGCGACGACAGAATTCCAGCCCCAGATGCTGCTGGGATGTTACAGAGCCGAGGCGAGTTCACAGACGGGCCGGATACCCCACAGACACCGAATCAGGCGGGACAGTAGTTGGACTTCCCAAACGCCGAAGATGAGAGCTTCGGAAGACGCTCGCAAGGCCGCAAGACCAACGCTTGCAATTGCTACCGGGTAGTTTTTGGCTTCAAAGAAGCTGCTGAACCGCTTGCGCTGCAGCCCTGTTCGTGTATGACAAAACCTGCCCCTCTTTCAAGACGGATCTACAGTTGCCGTTGGCACAGAAAGGTTTCGGTTTCGGAGGGCCGGACAAGTCCCCCTTCCCTTCAAACTTACAGGAGGACAGAGCAACGGAGGGAAGAGAGGGCAGGCGTTCGCACGAGAATGCAGTGTATCCCATCTAAGCCAAGAAGAAAGCGGTGAGGTGGAGAGAAGGAGAGCTGGAAGGATGAGCACGACTTCATACGAAGTGCAGGCCTTGCCCTCAAGCCTCCAAAGCTGACGGCAGGAGCCAAGCCGTCCATCGGTTTCCTGGTCAGTGCTGCCAGCCGAGGCGTCCAAGCGTATTGCAACCCACGAGTTTTTGAAGGTCTCGTCCCTGCTGGTTAGGACCGTAGGACAGCGGGCTTTCCATGGGCTCGGACCAGGCAGACCAGACGCATCCATTGATTCTGTTTGCAGAGCCAGCCACCTACAGTACCAGGCGCCTACTAGCCGGAGCCGTGAATGGTCCTAAGTCCTAAGTGTTTCTCCTCTGCACATGGGTGAATTCAGCGCAACACTCGGGCCCCCAGGCATGGCAGCAGATCGCCGATCTCTTGCCAGACCAGGAACTTGTCTTCGGATTGGAGTTCTGAGCTGTAGCCGACGTTTCGGAGCTTGAAGCGATGGTTCCGAATATGAGAGAGAGAGAGAGAGAGAGAGAGAGAGAGAGAGAGAGAGAGACCCTCTACCAGCCTGTAAAAGGTGGGCGGGCCGGGGGGCCTAGTGCCCGGGGAGTCTTAACTCGCCCCTTAAGCCTGGGCGAATACTGGGCAAGCCGACTGCGCCAGGAACTGGTTAGAAGCGCCAGCACGACAAGCACCTCGCCTCGCCAGAGTCAATTACGTCGATGCCCTTGCACTGTGCCAGGTGCCGTAGGAATCGTCAACATGACACGGCTTAGATTTTCGAGGCTTTCCAGGGTCATGCTGTGCTGCTCCGCTGACAAATACAGTGCATACAAAGCCGAAGTCCGGCGAGATTCCGTCGATGCCGCATGTGATCCGGCACGACGGTCTTGTGCTTGAAGCTGATATCTTGGACACCTTTCAACACAAAGGATGTCTGGTTGAGATCCTGGAGAGCACTGAGCCTTGGCATTTCCGCCTGTGACAGAGGCCGAATTCTGACAGTCCCAAGCTCCGCCTAGGCCGAGAGGGGGGGAAGAGGGGCCCCCCCAGGCCCAGGCCCAGGGCCCCCAGGGCCCCCGCGGAGCTGTCGCGAGCTCGGAGCGAAGCAGATTATAAGGCGTATACGGTTTAGGGATACCTTCCTCACTCAAGGAGGGTGGGTACAGCATCACGCCTTGTCACGGCGACTTGCAAAGCCTAGGAACTCTGGGTCCGACGGGCCGACGCAGAATTTGCTTCCCTTCCTTTTTCGGAGTTGGAGCGTGCCTTGGGTTGCAAGGAAGAGTATTCTAATGCGTGGCTGAAGGCTGCTACGGCATTGTGTTCGGTTCAGGGTGCTGAGCTATATAGGATGTTCTGTTTCAGCCTCCCAAGGCGAAGAGATGAAAAGGGAGGTGCGACTGGAAGGCCGCCATGGCTATGTCAGCCGCAGGGTGCTCTTCAAGGGCCTCCGGGTGGCGCTGCTCATGGGATGCTCGGGAAAACTCCAAGTGTCAGCAAGTACGTAACGAGGCCTTCACAGAAACAAGGATGTGAAGGCATGGACTAACGCAGACCCGTGAAGCTCTGAATTATCGACCTGATAGTTCGTTTGCGTGGGCAAGTAACTTAACGAGGCCTTCACAGAAACAAGGATGTGAATCCATGGACTAACGCAGAACCGTGAAGCTCTGAATTATCGACCTGATAGTTCGTTTGCGTGGGCAAGTACGATAACGAGGCCTTCACAGAAACAAGGATGTGAAGGCATGGACTATAACGCAGACCCGTGAAGCTCTGAATTATCGACCTTATCGACCTGATAGTTCGTTTGCGTGGGCAAGTACGTAACGAGGCCTTCACAGAAACAAGGATGTGAAGGCATGGACTAACGCAGACCCGTGAAGCTCTGAATTATCGACCTGATAGTTCGTTTGCGTGGGCAAGTACCTAACGAGGCCTTCACAGAAACAAGGATGTGAAGGCATGGACTATAACGCAGGCGTGAAGCTCTGAATTATCGACCTGATAGTTCGTTTGCGTGGGCAAGTACGTAACGAGGCCTTCACAGAAACAAGGATGTGAAGGCATGGACTATAACGCAGGCGTGAAGCTCTGAATTATCGACCTGATAGTTCGTTTGCGTGGGCAAGTACGATACGAGGCCTTCACAGAAACAAGGATGTGAAGGCATGGACTAACGCAGACCCGTGAAGCTCTGAATTATCGACCTGATAGTTCGTTTGCGTGGGCAAGTACGATAACGAGGCCTTCACAGAAACAAGGATGTGAAGGCATGGACTATAACGCAGGCGTGAAGCTCTGAATTATCGACCTGATAGTTCGTTTGCGTGGGCAAGCACGTAACGAGTCCTTCACAGAAACAAGGATGTGAAGGCACGGACTAACGCAGACCCGTGAAGCTCTGAATTATCGACCTGATAATTCGTTTGCGTGGTCCTTGCACCTAGGATCCTGCTGGGCAGGTGAATTCAGAGTGGTGCGGTGTTGCTAGGTCTGGGAACCTCGCACAAGCAGGCCCGCCGTCATCGTAATCCTGGAACCAAAGCGTCAATGTCCCTTTGCGAAGCCACACGATCGGGTTCCACTCGCATGGCTCGGTCTGTTTGTGGATGGTGGTGCTGCAGACTGTGTAGGCGAATAGTCGGTTGTCACGGCTTGTGTGTCGTTCGGGAACGTATGGTTCGGTTGGCATCTCTTCACCTGCGACCCACAAAGGAAAGACGGACATGGGCCCTTTGGCCCACCTAGCCCGCTGGTGCGGTGCCAAAGTGCAGCAGAGTGGGCAGGGTGCAGACATTCTTCTGATGCTCGGATGCAGCACGCAGGCTTCAGATTTGAATTCGGGCATGACGATGCGGGAGATTTCTGGAGCCTGCAAGGGTAGGTCCTGGCGGCGGCAGCTGCGCAGCATTCGCCACAGCCCGGCATTCCCACAAGACCCTCGGCTCAATGATACGTGACAGCACAACAGACTGCATACCTAGAGCAAGCTTGCAGCATGCTCAACTCCGCCCGATCGCTATCCATGGTGTGAAGCTTCAGGGCACGGTGTTGGCTTTGACTTGGCGATGCTAAAGAAAAATCCATTCCCTTCGTAGATCGTCGATCCGTGAAGACACCATTGGTAGGCTCTGTAGGACGGCTTCGCACAGAGGTGGCACTGCGGCATTTGCACTGTGGGCACAGGGGAGCTCTGTAGTGAATCGTGACCACGGTACAGTCAATCTTCGGCTGGCTCCCCTCACCACGTGCTGGTTCTGCAGTAGCAGCGTAGCAACCTCATCGGGAGCAGCCGCAACAGCTTTCATTCTGATGGAGGCACTGTGGCATTCAAGGCTGTGTTCGGACTGGATGAAGACATACAGTGCTACGGTTGCCACGGTTCATGTTTATGTGACTCGCCGCTAGTCGTCACCATCATCAACATCACCATTCTCTTCTGCAGCTCCCGGCGTCGCCAGCATCAGCGTCATCATCTGTATTACTGTATTCTTGCCCATGCCTTAGAAAAGGCTTCAATTCCTTCAGGCTTTACCGGGGCGCCTGGTTGCGCGCCAGCTGCGTCGCGGGCCGGCAGCTTCCGAGACATCGGACACCCGATCTTTCCAGGAGAAAGACATACGGGTTGTTCTTGGTCTGTGACGGGTGCGCTGGAGAGTCTCTGTGTGGGTTGAGTTCGATGTGCGGCACTTTGCTGTGCAAGATGTCTTGTTGGAGGTCGCCAAGGGGAGGGTTGAGAATCCCCACAGAGGCTGTTCGGAAGTTGGAGCTTGTTTTACCTTCTGTCGTGGATTACCGAACATCCCCACGGTTGATATCAACGGGAAGCAACTGCTGATCACCACTCTCGAGCTCGAGTCACGCCCAGGATTGGCTGTGCCTCCATCGGTGCCTCCTTCAGCGCCCTGGACGTCAGAATAAAAGGGTAGCGGCGGCTCAGGCTCCGTAGTCTCGTGTCTGGAGAGCTTCCTCCAACACACCAGGCAGAGTGCCGTGGGTTTTGCATTAGCTGCGAGAGTTTCAGGCCGAAGGAGTGTAAGGAGAATTGCTGTGATGGCGAATACCGTCCGTCTATGTTGCGGTCCGCAAGTACGCAGTCCTCATACTCTGTAATCAACCCATCCACGCCGTTTGTTGCGTTCGAGTCGTTGCAGGTTCTTTCCGCTCCTGCATTGCTGGCTGCCTGGGGAGCAGCAACGAGACTCCAGGGGCTGCGTGCCGAAAGACTTGAAGTATCGAGGGTTTACTAGTTTACATGCCTCTCCTGCCGGACATTGAAGCAACACAGCAACATACAAATTGGACTGCTCGAGATCGGGGTCAGGGGTGGCTATGGCACAATTCTGCCCGGACTTGAATGACCAGCCTAATGCCGCGAATTGGGATTGTCCCACAACCACTTGGTCCGGACAAGAACGTCCATTTCAGTCCCGAGGCTACTTCTTCAGTTTATTGATGTGCGTGTTCAGCAGGAGTAGACTAAGCCTAAGCCCAAGCTAGCGCCGGGTCAGAAGAGGTATCCCCGGCTTTACTCGCGAATCGAAGCTCCAAAACTTTGCAAACCTCCGTGTGCTTTGCGGCGCTCAAGCCACCCATCTCCAACCCGCAAGTGATTTCGACCCAGGCCTTCGGTTGCTATGCACCTCGACTTATGGAGGGCGTCTCGGCCTTTGTTGAGCAATCATTCACCGAATAGGTTGGAGGTCATGGGCTGGAAGAGACGATCCGAGGGGGCGTAGATTTGGGATTGAGAATTGTGTGGACATGTCTCGTCGACCTTCACTGATTCACGATCCCGGCCCAGGCCTGCTACTGAGCACCAGCCGTTTGCGCACACGTCACCGGGACGCGTTTGTGAAAGCTTGACTCCTTCTTTCGGATTTCAGAGTTGGAGCCAATGGCGATAGCCCTAGCCTTGAAGCCGACAGCCAAGCAAGAGCGGGGACGTTGCAACTCCGAGGGGAGAAGGACCAGCAAGTAAGTAAAGACAAGCCTAGACTGTCATGAGATTGCGCACATTGCTTAGAGAAGGTTTCGGTGCTAGTGATCGTCGAAGACAGGCGGCATCAGCATGCTTTCTTGCATGCTTTTGCTCCTGTCTGTTTCGAAACCCTGGCCTTAGGTCCTGCATGCGGCACTCGCTAGGCAGCCCTCACTCTCACTCTCTCTCTCTCTCTCTCTCTCTCTCTCTCTCTCTCTCTCTCTATCTCTCTCTCGATGGATCGATCTAGCTAGCGATCTATCTGTTCATCCATCCATTTATCTGCTTATCTTTCGTTAGCTCATCTTACCCTGGTCTTATTATCATCTTAACCTGCTTTGTCGTATCAAACCTACACCTGAACTAAACTAACCAAATAAGCTGGCCTGGTCTCACCCCAGTCTAATCCCGATGAATGTTCCGAACCGGTACACCCGAGCAAGTTGCGGAGAAGATAAACAACAAGAGGGCCGTGGATTACTGCACACTGCCTTTGCAGCTGAACACCCGACCTCATCGCAGAATTGCTTTGATAGCGACATAAAAGTCATGATCCGACAGTCTCTATATCACTTGCGCTCTGTCGCGCCCACCCTCTCTCCCTTGGCTCCTGGCTCGCTCTCGCTCACTCGTGGGCTCCCTCCCTCTCTCACCTCCTGTTGGGTTAGCCAACCGTCACGAGTTCCAGGCTCCAAAGAGGCCGTGGTTATGACAGCTCAGCTACTGGGTGCACAGTGCACGGATGTGCCCCGTCGCAAGTGTCGGCGCAGGTGCAGTGGTCCTTCTTTTGCTTAGGCCTTAGGACACATGGAGGCGAATCAGGGGCTCGAATGGTTTTGTAAAGGTGTCGAGCGGCTTTGCAGTTAGACTCACTGGATGCTGGGCTTCCTTGTTACGAGCGATGAGAAGCAGTGAAGATAGTGCCATGCTTGGAGCTTCACTTTCCAGGCCTGGGCTCCCGTCTGATCGTTTCGGAGTTGCGGTGAGCCAGTTCTCTGGAAACACTACGTAGCATTCCAGTACAGTTCGCCGAAACACTCTCCTACGAAGGAGCTCACGAAAGCCCATACTCATCTCATCGCTGGTGCCAGCCAGGGTGAAAAGCCTCTGAGCATCAATTGTTTCTTATGCAGTGGTTCTTGGAGGAGTCGATTGCTTTTGGTCTCTGATTCGAGGTTCCAGACAGCGGATAGGAGTTGAAGCCATACAAGGTGTTAACTGTGTTTGTCCCGACAGTATCGGTGTGCGTGTGCGTGTGCGTGTCTCTCTGTGTGTGTCTGTGTGTGTGTGTCTGTGTCTGTGTCTGTGTCTGTGTGTGTGTCGGTGTTGGGAATTTCGACTTGCTGAGCTGGTGGGTCAGTTGGTGAGTCTTGGGGCTTGGATACAGCCACACCTGGGCATGGGCTCGATCGGACGTCGGAGAGCGGGGAATATTGGGTGGAAATGTGTCTGTAGCTAGCAGTATAGGCACTGTAGAGTTTCATGCGAGCACTGATACAATCTCTAGGCTTTGCGATCTAAGCCAGATAGCATATAGATGAAGGCACTATACTCACGTGCGGAGATTATATGGCAGATGGATGAGACTATGGAAGCTTCATCTGTGATACAGTTGGCAAGCCCTCTTTAACAGCATACCCAGGGGCAGAACCAAGGTATGAGTTCGCAAAGCAGCACCGGATTCCGATTGTTTCTGTGGCATGGGTGGACAACACGCCACCCGGTTTGAGCAAACAGACGGCTGGCTTATGAGTGACTGTGAGCGAAGCAGCCTTCATCTCTACCTCGATCTGCTCGCGCTTGAGTGCTCGCTTCTACGCTGCAGTTGAGGCTCCGCCTTGGCATGCCAATGAAGGAGCGGTGTTTTCCGGTGAGCGGCGGGGAGGACTGAAGCATCGAGAGAGTCTGGTTCAGATAACAAGGCTCTATAGGTTACATAGGTTGCAGGCATTCAAGAGCTTGTCTAGACGAGGGGGTTGCTACCCTCCAGTTTCACGGTTTGTTTCGCAGTGCGTTTGCCTGCTGGCGACGGACATCATGGCGAAAAAAACGCATGACACCTTGAGAGGCTTGGAGCAACGAAGGGTGTTGTGCTCGGTCGATGAGGCATAATCTCGGAGACGGCCATGACGGTTTCGGGCTGAACAGCAAGGACACAGCTGATCAGACATGAAGCCTCGGCTCCAAACACACCGAAGCTGCATGCTCGTGTCACTTTGCTAATCGGGGATGCTTGAGAGGGAAGCTGGACGTGCTTAAAAGGCAACCCCCAAGGGAACCCTTCAGTTTGGCTGGGGACTTGCGTTTGTTTGCTGTTGCTCTAATTCTGCCAGGCTGACAAAAATCCCAGTGGCAGCTGCGCACACAACCGTTGCACTATCAAGCCCACTGGTTGTGGGACATTCCCATATTCCCAAGGCTTCCGGATGCCGTGGCCGTGCTGGAAACTGCAGTGCCAAGTTTCCTGGACAAGGCCCATCGTTTTCTTTCTTGGAAGAGCTGCCCACGTGCCACCACCCTCTCCACGAAAAACTCACACCAACCGATCAGCAAATGCAGCGGGGCTGCTAAGTTTTCGCAAACGGAAGAGGTCAGAGTCTGCTTGAAACACAGAGTCAAACAAATCCGATGTGCGAGTTTTATGTAGAGGTGTCTGATATGGACAACGTGGAAAATGCGATATTTTCGGCATTGCCGGGCAAAGCGCGCTGCAACTTAGATTTCTCAACAGCACCGCAGCATGTGGTAGCTGACCAGCTCTTGTCGCGGCAGCTGGTTTTGCCTGACATGTCTGGTTTATCGGAGCTGACCGATGCGCACAAGCACAAGTTTCCAACTCACAGGTCCAATGGCCTGGACTCCGCGTCGGTCACCTGAAATCGGCACCCCAGCGGCAGGTGAGCCACACAATGAAAATTCCGGTGTCGGACGAGGGATGGCAGGATGCAGGAATTGACACTGAATTTCCAGGCTCTAGGGAAGCTCTTCCGGCTTTCCGCTGGACAGCATGTTTTCCAGAGGACATGCTTTAAGCATTGAGTGCCGTCTTTCATAACAGTTCTACAAGCCTTACTTCGGAGAGTTCGGCTCCCTCAACACCCTGAAGCCGCAAACACAACAACTCAGAGATCCTGAGGATGCGCGAGGATCCGTGGATATTGTCTTGAGTGACGAGCGTCTTGGCATGTCTTGATCGCATACCAGCCTTTTTACATGAGTTGGACAGCCGTTAGTCCTGTTGGGTGCCCTGCAAGACCGCGGAGCTTAAGCCCAGGGCATGTGCTGCAGCGGAGACTTAGTTTCCTTCTGCCACATGCCGGCAGAATTTGTTATGTCAGCTTTGGCAGTCAGCCTGTCGAAGCCCGAAGCGGCATTGTGAAAGCCCCCTAAAAATGATTGTGTCGCGACCTTGTGTGCCCAACCCTGATGAAATCGACACGGTCTGGGGCCTGGGGTTGTTGATTAGTTAGCGACACAGTTTGCGAAGCGACTTCGGCAGCTCTATGTGACCATCAACCTGTCCGTGTCAAGATTGAGGCAACATATCGTATCTCTGTCTTCATGTCTTCATTGGCAGCTTGCAAGGCTTCTACTGATGGCCGGTGCGCGGGCAGAGGCTGTTGCGGGAAAGATGCCCCTCGTTCTGCATTCCACGTTAAACGTGCAGGGGTTCTTCGTCTTGAGACGGCAATAATCGTAGCTTCGCCATCCTGCCCCCAAAACTTGCGACGAAATAGAGGTAGGCCCCGGACCCAGATCTCGTTGCCAATCCGCCGTGTCAAAAACTCCCAAACTGAGAAGTAGCATCCGGCGAGCTCTGAAGCCACGGCAACCACAGTTGAGGCCGCGGGTGCCGGCATGTGCAGAGTGGACATAGGATCAGTAAATATTGTGATGCACCGATGTAACACTTCAAAAGTATGAAAGGCATCGTAGGAAGCAGCGCAGTGAAGCACAAAGCCAGCAGATCATGACTCTGTGGAAAAAATCTTCCCGCTGACACTGCTTTCTTCGACAGATGTGAGGCTGACTTCAAGACTGGCTGACCGTGCTAAACTTGGCACACACGCAAGCGCTCAAGTACCAAGACACCCCAATCTTAGTTCTTAGAGAACTGCTCCATGCGGGTCCAGGCTGCAGCAAATAATAACACATGCACGATCTGGTTGTTGGGATCTCAAAGCAGTCGGAACGCCCAGGTCTGCGCTTGCAGCTCGATAGCACTAGCATGCATGTCGGCATGCGTTCCATGTTGCATCTTCGTCCGAGTGGCCCAAGCTCAAGGCTTGGAAGGACGAGCGAAGATTGGCGCGGGTTGGGCAAGTTCATGCAGTCTTGCTTCATCTTGCCCGGACATATTCAGTCTTGTGGCTGTGCGGCCAAATTTCGGTCTATTCCCTTGACTTTCCCTGGCTGCCTCCAACTGGTGGGGTACGGGGCCCCGATATTTCGCGTGTGCAAAGTCCAGCTCTCACTAATCCACTCCAAAGACTCACTGCGCCATTCGCCGAAAACTGTCAGCCGAGGATTGGATCCAGCTAGACCGCAAGATCGCGAGCTCACACCAGCATAAAATGGTGCAGTTCACGTCCGCATGCGCTTGTGTCCTTGACATTAACTTCACAGTAGGGAAGGCACACTTGGTGAAGTACGGCTGGTATGTCGATTCCCAGCTGATGATGGAGCAGAGCCTGGGTTCAAAACGGCTGGTATGTGATGACACGCCTAATGACCCCAAGCAAGATCTTCAGCCGGGTGACTGTGAAAAAGTATGTGAAACTTCAGGCAATGCACAGCAGGGATTCGGGTTTCAGATTTCGCAAGGGTGCCCTATCAGAACAGGGGGCTCGTTCGTAGCCGCCGTAGCCAAAGGTCTTATACAGCGGCTGCACATTTCATTTTCATGATCAGAAGGTGGGTGTTCTTTTGCAATGTCGCGCGCATGTTCTGCTGCTAGCCCAGTGGAGACGCGGTTGCGGTTCCGGACTGGTTGTCATGGCGAGGGTATGATGTGGACGTTTCATGCGATTCCTTTGCATGGCCGGGCTTGGAATCGAGCACCAAGGCTTTCCAGCTGCCAGCTTGGTGCAACTGTGCTATGCTCACGTGCTGGCTCGAGCCAGGTGGATGTTGAATCGTGCTTGAAATCAGCAGCCGGCCGGCCAGTCGTGTCCATCCATTGCAAATCCCAGAAGCCTAAAATGCCTAAACCCGGCATTCCCACACGTCAGACATTGAATGCAACATATTGTACGGGAGCGGAGGGACATTGCGCATGGCCCCTCTGCATGATCTCAAGCAGGCATCCCCGCAATGTGTGTGCATTTGGATTTTTCGAAGATGTCCATCGCCGGCCAAAGCATTCCCGATTTTTAACGGTCAAGCCTTCGCCCAGCATGACTCTTCAAGTCATTGCTGTGGCTGTAATCTAGCCAGGAACTAGTAGCTGTTTCGAGTTCTGTGGCAGAGACCTTCGTACTTCATGTCTGTCGAAGGAGGACTACTTGTAAGACAGTCAGCACCACATTCTCCAGTTGCCTTGGTCGAGGTGCCTGTGGCTTTCTGGCGCAGGCACGGCTCTTGCTGGGAAGTTGGTTTCCAGGTCCTGGAATCAGTCAGCGCTGCCCCGCCCCGCCCGGCAGCTTGTGAGGTGAAAGACAGGATATGGGGACAGTTGCATGTGTGGATCTTGGTGGAAGCTGTCGAATGCCGGGCTTCAGCTTAAGCTTAGATGGTCGCAGAAGCATAGACTCGAAGACCGTTCGGCACATCCCTTTTCTCAAGTGTATCTGTGCCAGCTAGGGCTAGGGAAAAGCCGTATATGAAGCCGAAGTATGCAAGCTGCAAGCGCAGAGTTAAGTTCCAAAACCCAGAAAGTCGCACTGAAGACGCAATGGCTGCCGGATGCCGCTGAGAACTCTGGCTGCAGCAGCAGCTGTGGGGCTGGCTGCGCTCTGGGCGCAGCAAGGAGACACCGCTAGAGGCAAGTGCAAATATACCATGCCAACCAGCACCTCAAGATATGCAAATTAAAGCACTCGACAGTGACAGAAGCTGCCAGCCGCCGACTTCCCGTCGCCATCGACCCTTTGCCAAATTTGCACGCTTCCTTTATTTGGTTCGTGGCAACGGGGATCGGGTGGCGCTAGCCACTAGCCCTTATCAAGCAGAAGCGAAAAGCCTCCCCTAAACCCTTGGAACAGAACCCGTCCAAACCACATAAACCCGTATCCACCCTAGACGCTCAAGAACCTCAAAGCCCTACGTAGTTCCTCAACAGCAAGCTTACACCCTTTCTTCGAACTTCGAGTCAATTCTCTGCATGGGGCTTTCATGGCGATGTTTCGCAAGTCGAAAGCGAGGTACAGGCAATTAGCATACTGATAATTTGATGGCCTCCGATCGCCTGGGTATGTATAAGGCTTGCACGGCTGCGTATTTTTCGTTGCTTGGGGTCTACGCTGGTGTCACGTGAGTTCTGCTTGCCGGTGTAACCTCAGGATGCGGGCAATCCCCAATCTAGCATCGTGCTTCTTTTCTTGCACGGGTGGCCGGACAACGCCAAGGCACAGACAAGACGGGTTCGTGGAAACGATTTCTTGTTGCTGGGGTGAGTTGGGTCCGTCGGATGTTGCCACATGCAAACTAGCTTTCAGACATAAGATATCATGTAAGTCGTGTCGAAATCGGCAGTTCAGCCCTTGTCTTGGATGTCCACAAATCGGGCGCAAGGTTTGGCCAAGTGCGATAGGCACAAGTGTAGCTTGTGGACCTGCGTTAAGGTCTCTGCTGACGCACTGTTGCAAGTGCTTGCGCCAAGTTGGTTCAGTTGGCTTGGAACCGCCGAGCCATCTTTTGGTTTGGTACTGGGTAGCACAGGGGCACACCAGCAGAGTGGAAACCCGACGGATGGATGATCTGGAGTCAATCAGCTCTTGAGCTCGATCGAGAATCCTTAGACTTAGACAGCACAGGCATATACCGTTCAAGAGTTTGAAGCATCACAGAAGCACTTCAGGTTGCGATCACAGACAGCACGGTCTCCCTTTGGAGCTGCAGGAGTTTCAGAAGCAGATTTCTTTCTTCTCCGAGCTGGGCTACCGGTGCGTGGCCGCCGAGCTGCCCATGACTGAGCACGGAGAAAAGACCCCGAACTGCAATGGAAGATTCAATCGCGACATAGGCTTTAGTAAGCCAGTGATGGCTGTCTCGCAGAGTCGCTGGCACATGTCAGTTACGGGGAGGATACTCTGTGGATGCCAATGAGCCGCAAGCCCTGAACCAGAAGCATTGGGATTCCCTTCCGCCTTCCGGCAAAAAGCACGATCTCGAACCGGGAGCTGGAGCTGAGGGCGACTTGGGGGCACGACTTCGATGTGCTTGCAGCGAGGCATCAAAACATGATATTGAGAGGGTACCTTCTGAAGTTAGGAGGCGTTTAGAAGGTTATGCAGCAAGTGCGTACGAGTGCCTAGACGAACCAAGCGGTTTCTGAGCGCAGAAGTACACGATCACATGCACCGGTCCAGATGTAAAGGCATTTGCATGCCTGCATGCATGCATACTGTCCCCACCCCTTTCAACAGGAAAGCATTTACTCAATGCAAGTTCGGCGGTTTCACAACAGTCTGTGCTGGCAGCTGTTCGCACGACAATTCACTGTTTGTAAGAGAAGTCGAGACTTTGTGTGCGATCACGGAGCGACATAATCGAGGAAGAGGCGCCGGTGGGATGCAAGTAGTTCTCTGAACAGTGCTAATAAATGACTACTATTGCAGAGACGTGGCTGAACCAACTGGAACGCAGTCGACCCTGCCCCAGGCACAGCAGCTGTCCAATCTTGCCGAGTTCCTGCGAGGCCATGTTGCAGTCGCCATTTCTGAAACGACACTCGCACACCATTTTGCTTGCTCGCGACCATGTCGCTGTCGTAGCAGTACTGGTTTCGTGCATGTTCTGAGAACCAGCTCTGAGTCCCACGTGTGACAACTACTTGCATGTTTCGGCTGCCTTGTTCCAGTCATGATTCGTTCGTTCCGACACTTGGGCTCAGGCACTGGTGCTTTGATTTCAGTTTTATTATTGGCATGACTGGTGATATCAAATTGACTGTTACTGTCCAAGCTAGAGAATAGTCACCAGTACCCTAAAGCATACTCTGGACGGGTATGTTGCAAAAGTTTTCGTTAGTGCTGTGTTTCCCTGTAGTATGCACGTCCAGGAACTTGGAAAGTGTGATTTCAGAGACATTCTGAGAGCGTTGCCAAATGGCAGGGAAACGATGGACTAGAGTGTAGGAGGACGACATGATGACAAAGGTGATGAAGACGATGATGAGGAGGAGTAGTAGGAGGGGGAAGGGAAGGCAAAGCTGGTGCATTTTTTGTGGACTTTGAGCCCTAGTCTCTACATAATCTTACCATATGCGGAGCCGCTTCGATGAAAGTCTTTCTTCAATCGGCCGACTCCTTGGTTTCAGCTGCTTAGACTTGCTGGTGCCTGCTCACGCGAGTTGAAGTCCGCAAATTGGAGCTGTCCGAACACAGCACATTGTCGTAGACACTTTGAAAAACTAACTCAGAAAAAGCTCTCAAGGTGAGAATCGCTCGCTCGTCTTGCTCGGACATGATTGGGGGGCATGGCTCACGCCGCTTCAGCTGCCAAGCCATGCACTTCTCGGTTCTTCTTCCTTCCGGTGTATGGCTGGTGTTCAGAAAAGCTGAAGTCAATGATTCTGCACGGTGTGGTGGAGTCCAAGAGCGGGAGACGCGTTGCATACTTGAGTCGCAGGGTCAGTCAGACTGCGAAGGTTGTTCGAGTTGTCTCGCGGTTGTGGCTGGATTGATCTGGCAGAGCATTGCCCTGAAGTTTCTTCACAGCCAGTGCATTCGCAAGGTACATGGCCCAGAGGCAAGACCCCCACCTGTTCGATGCCATCGTGCCAATGGACATTGCTCCGGGCTATGGCGAACTCCCGTTCTCCGTGCTCCGGCAGCCCTAATTCCGTATTGGTGCCCGGGCTCGCTCCCGCCCGCGGTCTGCAGAGGTCAAGTGGCGCGTGGTCGCCTACCAGCAGTTTGCCCTAGCGTGCTTCCTGCTCGGGAAGCTGCCACTCATGCAGGCGCAACTGTCCTTGCCGTCGTAAGCTTCAGTAGTTGGGGCCATCCCACCCCCGTAAATTTGATCATGCATGGAACGATACTGTCTGTACCGCCGCAATCCGCGTCTGCTGTAAAGCCTCGAGCCGTGTGCCTCCCAAGTCACGGTTTACTGAAGCAGAAGGGCTTTTTTCCTGCCAGTGCTCCCAGGACTCGGCCAACAAGCTGCTGCGGCACTTCATGAAGCAGCTTCGCTTCTCCATGTGCCATTCTGTTTACACAGTTCATTTGAGTTCTCGGTTGTAGAGGGACCCAGCTTCAGGTTGCTCCAACTCAAACTGCACGAGAGGGATCTCTCTACTTGCCGAGCCGAGCCAACGGAGTGACAGCCAACAGAGGGAAAACACCGGCCTCTAGTGGCCTCTTGCTGCCAATGTCAAAAGGCAGGATTCCACTGAGTTCTCGTTCCAGCCGCCACTCTTCTTCCCACATATGCCAACACAGCATCTCTATTCTCTGGACAGCCGACCTCGTAGGGCTATCTGGCAGATTCAGGCAGTCGCTGGGCCCAATGTCCGGCTATGGAGAGGCCGACAGGCTGTTGAAGTTCCATTTGCTGAGGAGTGGCTCTCGGCATTGCTGTTGGCTGCATCAGCCGCATTCCAAAAGCTTTGAAGAGTTCCTAGCTTTCGAGTTTGAAACCCAAGGCAATGAGCCTTAGAGAAGCTTCGGAGAAGCCATGAAGTGAAAGCAAGCGTCAGTCCTAGAGGCCGGCCGGTTGCTGACGCCGACACCTTTGGAAGAGATGACTGCCGCGATGGGCTGGCCGCACCAGCTTCAGAGGGCTATAGCAGAGGGCTCGACTTCATGCTTTCGCTGTGGCAATGCTGTCCAAGTCCAGATTCAACAAGCACAAGCTGCAGCTAATAGATCGATGAAAGCCAGGGCACGCAGCAAGAGATGCAGTTATCACGCTTAAACTTGGTATGTTTCCAGGTATTGGCAGACATGGAAGCCACCTCGCTTCTTTCTTTGGGCGCGATGGCAGCCGCTGGGCTTGGATGTAGCTTCTTCTAGCCGTAGCAGAGTCCACTGAACCGTGGCCTCCTGCAAGAGTGCGTCGGTCTCAAGCCTTCCGAGGCTCGGGATAGAGATTGCTATACATGTAAGTGACGCTAAATGGTCTGAGCACCCTCAGCATCGAAAATGCGGCCAAACCCTCTTCCCACAATTCCAATAGTTGTGGGGCAGACTATCTGATCCACAGAGGAACGCTCTTTCATCTGAAGATATTAGAAAGGCCTGACGGAACTATGCATGGCTGCGGTTTGGTTTCGCAATCCCTGCCATTGCTTCTCTCGCAGAGGACACACGGCCTTCGAGGATGGAAAAGCAATGCCGCCGATGCACCTGGACTTTCATGAACACTGCATGGCATAAGAGAGTAGGCTGCCTGGACACGGCCCGTTTCCTTTCGGATGGGTTTCTTTTTGGCCAGTTTCAGGTTGCCACACTGGCACCTAGGAGCAGAACCCAAGCCCTCGGCTACAACTTGACTCTGTGTCCCAGGCAGCCAAGAGAGCCCACAGTGCCTGCAGTTCCGACGGGGGGAGCCAGTTCTGCTTTGAGGCGCAGCTAGCTGGCGAGCTGCCTTCTTGCCCTACGCTGCTTCTATACGGAGTACCTGGGCTTGCGGCGGTGAGGGCTGAGAGCTTCATTTGACTGAAGGGTCGCGAGTTCAGTATACCAGTGTGAGTGAAGGGCAGAGGGAGCTAGCTCCACACCCCACGTTCAGGAAGACTGAAGGGCTTTTTCCTGTCTCAAACCTGTTGACTCTCATGAAACATCTTGCGAGACATACATCTTCCCGGCCGACCTCCCAAGCCCGGATGCAAAAAGAGAGTTATGACAGCCGGAAGCAAGAAGCCTTACATCGTCATACCACTTGAGACTAGTCGCTTCCCTCGAATACTAAGCCCCCTCCCCCAATATGAAGAATGGTTTTGTGCCTTCAGTTCTTTAAATTAGGAGGTTTTCTGGTGGTTTCAGGCTTGACTTTTCAGCGATTTCCCGGAATTCGGTGAAACTGGAGTCAAGCCAGGAATTCCCAGGCCAGGCAGCGGGGTGCGGATGCAGGGTGCATCTACTAGTAGGTGCGGCTCAGGGCCGGCACCGACTAGCCTGGGACTTCCGGATTCGACAGTAGTTACTGGCCCTAGCCCTGAAAATAGACTTCGTAGACTTTCTCGGGCCTCGCGTTCCTGTTCTAAGACGGCGGCCCTAGCCGAGTAGTTCCAGATCCGTTCCAATCTCCAGACGGCCATCCTATCTGCTAATCCAACGTAATTAACTTTCGCTCATTTTTGAACTTTGGCTCGAAACTGGAATATCCTTCCGGCCGGCAATTCTTTGTATTAGCGGGGTGATTAAACTGGGGAAGCGATGAGGATGTGAAGCTTCTGTTGGAAGAGTTCAGTCAGATTGAACTGGAGAGACGCTTCAGTGGTTGAGGGCATTTCAGGGCTGATCCACTGATCCACGTGAAGCCGTGATCTGCTCCGTGCCGGACAACAACTCTCCATAGAGCCTTCGACCTTCTAGCCAGATATTTCCGGCCTCGTAGCTGCCAGGTGTTTGTGAAGAAAAGGCGCATGAGTGATTGACTTGCTTTTCCCCTCTACCCCCAGGCGGCCCCCTCCAAGATGGACCTCACGGGGTGCTACTTCCTGGAGGCTCTCCGCTTGAAGGGCGGTCCCCTGCGGCGGCCTGGCAGCAAAGCACTCCAGATGCCTGCACCCGAGGGACTAGCTGGAACTCCGTTTTGTGTTGTAAGTCGCACCTTCGTTGTCCTGGTTCCGCAAATCGCTTGCTTGCCTGTTTCTGGTCTGGGTGCATGCAACAGGACGACAGGATCTGAAGTGTTTGCAGCTAGCCAACGGCCGCCGTTGAATACTGTACCCTCTGTCGTGCAGGCGGACGCTTGGGAAAAACATCGGACGAATCTAGTAGCGGTAATACCCGATCTGGGAAGCCTGTGTTGCTAGATGGCTTGCTTCGGGATGACTCTGTGGTGACCCCCAGCTCCAGATGATGCTTGAGCTTGCAACGTAAGGTACTCCAAGGCCTTCGACTCGCACCACTGGTTCTTTTACTGGCATGCGGCGGAGGTCAACCATGAGATTCAGCAGTTCCTACAGAAGCTTTCCCTGGAGCCATGAGCTGCAACACCAAATGCCGTGTGTTGCTGCGTGATCGCGTAGCGGAATAGTAACAAAGCCCGGCTTCGCACCCGTGTGTGCCACGGTGGTTTGTTTGCCATCCGCGGTTTAAACACCAGCGACTTCGAGACCTTCAGGGTGTTGAGGCATGGCAATCGATTCGGCAATTCTTCCAAAGACGCTTTCTTGCTGTCTTGGCTTTCGCCGCCTTCTTCAGGCACAGGCTTAGCGCATGTTGCCGCAGGTAGTAGACTACCCAAGCAGATCTCGAGAGATGATCACAGGTCGTCATTTCAGCAGCTTCAGGGTTGCAAAGCACGCGAAGGGCACGCAATGAAACATCAGAGACATGGATCTCATCAGTGAGTCGAGGGGTTGCAAACTGTAGCAGATTGCCGGGGCAGCAGAGCCAGAAATCAGCCCTTACTACTTCCCTAATTCAGTCGGCTGCGCTGTCATGGCCGGCAAAGGAAGGCTCGGGATGCAGCGTTCTTTTGCCGAACCCTTTGGCTCCCGGCTTGTCATCGAAACAGATGCAGATGTGAAAGTCGAGCCTTTTCAGGGCGGCTTTTCGTTTCGACCGCAGGTACTGCCCGGTCACCCTCGACTCTGCTTCGGATACCTCGGGGACGACTTGCACCTTGGACACGGAACATCTGGCTTTGTGGCTCCTTGAGAGACATACTGGTGCCTGGAAGCGAGTAACAGCTCGTGGCAGTGTCGTTTTAGGACGAGGCAACTTGCAGAGCCATGTGCTGAGACCTCCAGCTGAGCCAATGGGACATAGGGGTCTGATGATGACGGGGTTGACAAGCAATTCCAATGTGCAGAATACGTTTACGTGTCAGGAGCATCGTGTGCAGCATGATCTAGAGCTTTCGAAACAGACTTACTGGGAGCATGCGTGTCTCTGTGCTTGCTCCTCCTGAAATACGGCGACATCGAGGTACATTTGATGAAGCCTGCGTTTGTGCCAACTCCTCTCATGTAAGGGAGTTGGTGATCCTTTGCTGCACTAGCGTGCCGCTGTCGGTGGGCAAGGGTTGAGGCTCAGAGTCTCAGAAGCTCAGGCACAAGTAGGAGTCGATCTGATTCTGTATTCGGCACCGGAGCCTGGCACTGCACGAGGAACGTCAGCCTTGAAGGGCAGCCTTGCTATGCCTGTGAGCCAGAGAGGCTTCCTGCATGCAGCTCGGCTCGGACAGTCAATCGTCTCTGTTTTGGGATGTTTTGGGGGCCCAGAAGATATCGACATGCGATCTACCAGCCTTGCCGCCTGTTCTGCTCAGTGGCGGCATCTGTGCTTATTGTTTCAGTTTGTTTTCTTGTTTTTTCCGGCCGTGTGGCAAGCCAGCAAGCAAGCAAGCAAAGAAGCTAAGAAGCAAAAAAAGCAAGCAAACAAGGAAGGCAGGAAAGGAAAGGCACTACAATTGCTATTACTATTACTATCACTGTTGCTATTACTACTACTGTTACCATTACGATTACTATTGCCATTTCTATTACTATTAACCATTACGATTACGATTACTATTGCTATTACTATGACTATTAACTATTACTATGAGTTGGGTTGAGTTGAGGGTTTGCGTGCTACGGCCTCAGGGGGTTAGGCTTCAGGGTGGGTTCGGGTCCGGACTTGACTTCAACGGGTACTTCCTGAATCTGGAAAGCTTGCAAGCCAGCAGTTTAAACCCAAACGGGCAAAGAAGCGACAGTGAAGCTGGGTTGTCCTCATGACAGCGGAGCTCGGAAGACAACGGCAGCAAGGCGAAGCATGCGAAAATCAGCGTGTGTTGAGGCGAAGCTGGACTGCCCAAATCGAAGACAAAACCCAGGCGAGGACAACGGTTGCGAGGAAAAGCCATGTGGCAATGAGCGCGTATGCGAGCGTGCATGCATGGCTTTGGCAGGGCTCAGTACGCCCTCGACAAAGGGGGGAAGCTAGGAGGTCCCCCAACAAGGAAACTGCAAACCAAAAAGATGAAAGCAACGGAAAAAGCAACAAAAATCAAGCCCGTTCTGCACCGCTGTGCTCTACACATCTACTCAATCTACTCATGTACCAGTGGTGCAAAGCACTTTACAAAACATGAGTCACACGGCTACACGGTTCTTTTCGACTTCTAACACTTCACTCTTCTCCTGCACAAGCTTGGTCCCAGGTACTGAGGCATCCGACCAGTGCACACCAGAAGCCTGCGAGTGCGGCAATTCCATGACGCATGTCAGGCAGAATGCCACCACAGTTGACGGATGCTCGGCTTAGACAGATCTGTTACAGTCAACATGTGGCGGCAAAACCACCTGTGCCACCTTGGATGTGCAGCCTCGATTTTTCGAAACGCGGATTCTGCTCCCTTATCACATGAAGCATTGAGTATCTCCGTTAGTTTCATCAGTAGAGATGGCCCGGGCTTGGAAGTGGTCACTGTGTTGTTCAAGGCGCACTTTGCTTCTATTGCGAGCCCCGGAACGGTTCCTGGCAGTTCGGGCGGAACGAGGCCGCAGTCGTCCGAGCCTGAGCTCCACCTTCTGCAAAGCAGTGTCAATCAAGAGTGGGGAGGGCATCAGGTTCAATTGGGCCCGTCGCGCTTGATTGACATGGCAGTTGTGAGCGCATATTCTGCACAAATGTGGCCATATAGGAACCATAAGGCCAGGTGGACATTTTCCAACCTGTCAGGTAGGTATCCTGATTCTGATGCTGGTGCTTTGGATCTCCGGCCGCCGGCACGCTACAAGCGCGCCGCTAGGCTGTTAATTCTTTGGACATTTGGACAGTTGCAAGTTGCCTCCAAAAACAGGCAAATCCATCCCACCGATCCGGTCAGGTTAAGGTAGTGCCACCGGTGGAACCGAAAGTGCCAGAGAGTTTCGCTGCCCTCGTGCTCGAGCACCAAAGCTGTGATGAGCAGAAACAACAACACGGCCCAGCGCCGACATGCCGTTTGACCTCACGTCAATCAACAAGATGCCGGCCTCGCATATAGATCGATACACGCAATGCAAAAACCCAGGCGCAGCACCCTGCGCCTCCCCCGTCGGCAAGGGGATCGGCACCGAGCCATCCGATTCCTGGCGAAAGACCTTGCAGATGGTTTATCCATGTATGCTGGCAGTGCTGAGATTTCGTGCTCAAACCGTC